TCGGCATTTTACTTTCCTCTTTACCAAATAACAAAAAAAATATTTTTATTATTTCAAAAAAATTATTTTTTTTTCTGAATTTACACATTGTTGAATTGATTATATAATCTCCATTAACCTTAACAGATCGTGTTATCAATTTTCATAACAAAGTTATCAACACAATTTAACGTTTAAAAAACAAACAAAAATCATATATACAACAGTGTTGATACAAAGGAAATTCTCAAATTAAATTTCCACTTAAATAATAGTTGTTTATTACATTGAATTTATTGTTTGTTAATAATAACTTTTGTGCAATGACTATGATATACGTTAAAACAAAAATAAACGATTATCATCAAGTTCATTCTGTAACTAGGTCGATGTGCACAATTTTCATTCAACAACTTTTTGTTGATAATTACAAGATAAAGAGTTGTTATATCCAATTATTCTTTTATAACTATCGTTTTATTGTTATTCATGTAAAAATACATAATTAAACATATATATAAACTGTTTTTCAAAACTCTGTACTTGGATGATCCAATTTATTGGACTTATTATTTCTAAATTATTTTTTCTTTGCTTAACCCTCATTATTTGTTGAAAATAATTACTCAAAAAACAAAATAACGAACCCAGATTTTTTAAATTTTACTTGACAAATAAATCTTGCACCAAAAATTTACTTGAAAAATATAAAAAACTAACTTCGGATTAAAATTTTGATTACCATAACACAAATTTTGCCAAAAATGAAAACACGACTTTATAATTCAAGTCAGTTTTTAAATAATCACTAAAACATGTTTCAGATAAAAATGAAAAGTAAAAACGAGTAAAACCAGCATTTAAAAATAACATTAAGACTTACAATTGAAAGTTTTATTTTTTAATAACTGTTTATTTAATTTAATATTGTAGTAATTAGCGAACTTGTTTGTTTTTAAATGTTTGTTTTATGTTATCGATTACTTTTTTAATTGTTGAAATAAACAAAAACTTATTGTTAGTAAAAGTGTTGCATTATTTTATGCAATGGTGTCCTCCGTCACATCATTTGTTTATTGTTATATTGTCGTTTATCTTATGTTTGTTTGAAACATGTTGTTTTACTGACGTTTAGTTACAAATGGATCACCAACCAAATAACGAACCTGGAAAATCGAGAAAGATTTACCCAAAATTTGTCTGCTTTCCCGATTATTTATTTAATAATTGAAACTGTATTGATTTTTAGGAGTTTAAAACCGTGTACCGTTGTTGGTTCAACAAAAAGGAAAATAAAAAATAAAACAAATAAAAAATAGTAAATAATTTAAAATTAGGACAAAGGGTTTTTATAAATTTTGGAAACGGTATAGAGTTTTGAAATACAGTTTACAATTTTACAATTTTTAATCAACGTTGGAGAACATTGTGGTAATTATACCATTAACAACAAATTTAACAAAAATGCTTTTCAAAACTATTTTTATGCCAATACACGTTTTTGTTACAATGAACCAATATTAAACTTTGTTTTTGAACACTTTGATATATACAATAATTTCATAAAAATATATTTTAATTTAAACCAAAAAATGTTATTAAAAATCGACGTAAAGAACTCAATCTCGATAATCCTTTGTTTGTTGGAGCCTTATTTTACACTTAATATTTTTTCAATCAAATATTATTGATTCTGAGTTGGCTTCAAACACAAAAAATAACAATTTCTTTGGCCTTTCTTAGAATTCAAAATTATATTAAACGGTGTTCTGATTTAAGAAATATTATCAAAGACACTTCTTTAACACAATTCTCATCTTTTCCTTTTAAAGAAAAAAATGATTTACTAGGTATTGAAATTCTGAAAAAAAAGCATGTTAAGATTTAACAATGAGAATGATTCAATAGTTCGTGTTTCGATTTTTTAACCCCTTTAAAAATGTAAAAATCAAATTGGTCGACGTTAATTAATAAACGAGAAACATCTTCAAATCGAAACATACGACAAATATATAAAACTTTTCGAAGAAAACACTCCTGAATATTTACTTCATCAATTAAACGAATCTATTCACCCCGATATATTTGTATAACTTGTTATAAATCACAAAAACGATTCATTTGAACAAATCCATTTGAGCAACTTAAATATAAATTAATTTTGAGTTGTAAAGAATGGGCATCCAAAAAATTGAAAAATAAACAAATGTTTATAGAAAATGAAATAAACTTTGATATGTCCGAAAACATCAAAACATCTTTTTACAATCATAATGTAATTCCAAAACAAATTATAATGACAAAAAAGAAAGAATACAGATTGATGTCATTAAAGACACATCTGGTCCTTTTACTAAAATTCATGTACCAACTTTGTTCGATGTTGTTTTATCTGATCAGGTGGTTAATTATTTTGTTGAAATTTTAACACAACGTATAAATTTTAAAAACAACACTGCGAATCATCTCACAGAATTTGTCGAAATATGTCCAATGGAATATCCAACAATGCAAAAACCCTCGAAATGATCCAAAATGATCCAAAATGATCAAAGAAAATCTTTCCCTAAATTGGTTCTGCTTGTAAAAGAATTAAATCCAATAGCAGTTACGAGTTGTGTTGTTGAAAAAAAGTTTTTTTTGTTTTGAAAGTAACTTTTCACCAAAACGTGTCAACAAGATCCACAAAAATCAGCGTTGAAGCAAAACAGGTGTTTAATCAAGTTTATTTTTGTTACTGGATATATATAATATAAAAATGGTTATATTTTTTAAAAATTTATAAAAACGAAATTATATAAAACGGTTTTTCATTGTATAATATAATAAAAATACTAAAAATTATAATTTTTTATTGAATAATATTATTTTATTTAAATATTCAAGATAAAAAACAATGGTTTTAACGAATTATTTTTACGAACAAATACAATAATTATCATTTTTAGTGACATATTTTTAATTGTTTTTAGCACTATAATAATGTGTTAAAATTTAAATTATAAATTTGTTATTAAAATAGGTATTTTTACGATAATAATCTCATAACTTGTAGTGGTGAATAATATATTAATCTATAATTTATTAAAATGTTTGCACAGAAGAATTTTGAAATATTTAAACAAAAAACAAAAAACATGAAAATCAAAATGTCTAAACTTTCCAGTTATCACATCATGATAATCTCGAAGTACTTCAAGACTATCAAAGACTTAATCAACTTGGAGTTGGTATGCAAGAAGTTCAGTGGTCATATGGAAAAGTTTCATTTTAACCCAATTCCGTTAAATTCCAAAACACTTGGATACTTCCCAAACATCGAGACACTTCATTTGTGGAATGAAAAAGATGAAAATTTTGGTAATGGATTTATGATCAACAAAAGAGAAAATAGAAAAAATAAAAATGAAAAAGAAGTTGTTTTTGAAAAAGAGTTTTTTCGAATCATTATATGGTTCAATGTTGACTTTGAAACTGTTGACAGAAACAAAAGTCGAAACCTCGAGTTCAAAAATGTTACTTACACTAAAAATGATAGAAAGAAATTTGGTAATAACATACCATTGAGTGTAACATCGATTGGTGATAAATGTTTCAATGAATGTGGTAAATTGAACAGTGTTACAATACCAACTAGTGTGAGATCAATTGGTAATTGGTGTTTCAATGGATGCAGAAGTCTAAGTAGTGTTACAATACCATCAAGTGTCACATCGATTGGTGATAATTGTTTCGGTGGATGTGGTAGTTTGACCATTATTAACATACCATTGAGTGTAAAATCAATTGGTGAGGGTTGTTTCCGTTGGTGTGATAGTCTAAACAGTATTACAATACCATCAAGTGTAAAATCAATTGGTGATAATTGTTTTTTTAGATGCAGTAAATTGAGTAGTGTTACAATACCATCAGGTGTAAAATCAATTGGTGAATATTGTTTCTATAAATGTAGTGCTCTAAACAGTGTTACAATACAACCAAGCGTGAGATCAATTGGTGATAATTGTTTCAGTGGATGCACCAATTTAAGCAGTGTTACTATACCATCAAGTGTGACATATATTGGTTATAATTGTTTCAATGGATGCAGAAGTCTGAGCAATGTCACAATACCATCAAGTGTCACATTTATTGGTAAATGTTTCCCATCAAACACAGTAGTTCATCGAAGCGAATGAGATAATTTAGTTATTTCATAATTTGTTAAATATGACAATATATAAAAAGTTGAGAAAGTCGTTGCTGGATTTTGTGGGAGGAAAGGTGATAGTAGTAGTGTGGGCGAGGGGGATCCTAAAGTCAGCCCGCCTTTTTCACCCACCTCCTGGGAACAGAGATTATTTAAATGTAAAATTATGTAAATTGATGAATATATACCACGTCATTTAAATATATTAATAAAAAAGTCAATATATTTAATAGGGTGAGTGATATAAAGTAAAAGTTATAGTTTTTAATAAATAAATATATATATATTTGTAATTTTAGAATTTTATTCAATATTTTAAATAAGAAAAATGTACAGATGTGGTATTCACCCTTATGTGATACCCGCATTTTTTTGCGATTTTCTAAATATAAAAAACTAAAAATGAAAAAAATGAATATTTTTATTATTAACAAGGCAAAAAACACGGTTTAATACAAAAAAAGAGAAACTGAAATATGAGGCTTATGCGATTACAAAAATAAATAAGATTGAATTGGAAAATATAAGAAGACGATTTAACAAAATTAAAATCAACAAAATGAGTTAAACGAAAATGAACTAATATATCACACTCTCTATACAAAAAGTTAGTACAGTAAATAGTGGAAAGGCAACAGAGGACGTGTTGCTTGATGTTGTGCCAACGACACTTGGGACAAAGACAGTTGGCGGTGTGATGACAGGGTTGATACAACGAAACTCGACAAGTCCAGCAAAGAAGTCGTAGATCTTCTCGACATATGGAAACAACCAGCCAAACACGTTCATTTGGATCTTTGAGAAGGATGCATCTATGACATCGCATTGCAACCCGTTCGGCAAGTTTGAGTTGTGTGGCCTTTCATCCGCACCACGTGGTGTCCCACAAATTGAAGTTACATTCAACTTTGATGCAAATGGGATTCTGAATGTCTCAGCTGAAGACAAGACAACGGGAAAGAAGAACAAGATCACAATCACAAACGACAAAGGGAAGACTCTCAAAGGAGCAGATCGACAAGATGGTTGCAGACATAGAGAAGTTCAAGGCGGAGTATGACAAAATGAAAAAACTAGTCGAGGCGAAGAATGGACTTGAGAACTTTTGCTACTCGATGAAAAACACACTCAACAAACAAATTACAGCAAAACTTTCACCAGACAACAAGGCCGCAATTGAAGCAATAATCAAGGAGACACTCTACTAGCTCGACAATAAACAATCGGCATCAAAGGATGAATACACACAGAAACAGAAAAAAATCGATGCGAAGATGGCCAATTTTCATACAGATATCAACAGAATAAAACTGGAACATCAAAGAGTTTACAACAAAAAACCAACGAATAACAACGGTTTTATTAAAAAATATGTTTTACTTCTGTGTTTATTTACAGTTTTCTACAAAACAATTGAACAGAACATTAATTAAATGTTTAATACATTTATGGTTTTTAATAAATTATATTAAATAAACCCCATAATATTAACATTTGATAATTATTCATTTTAAAAATATAATATAATCACAAAGAGTAATTGAAGTGTTCTTATGGTGGGTTTGGTATAAATTGTATTCAAAATGGTAGTAAATTTAATAATTTGTAAATTTAAATAAGTGTATTTGAAATGTGATAATTTGTGATGGTAAATATCCTAATGATAATTGATATAATAAATACTATATAAATACAGACTGTAAAAGTAATATAATTAAATGTTGTTAATAATTAACGTTTCTAAAAAATTTATTATAATATATCATTTCTTATCTATAGCTTTTTTGTTAATAATTAATTATTATTTTTTATAATGTTAGTATAATATTGATTTTTATGTAATTTCCCAAAACAATTTCTGTGGAAAAAAACACAAATAAAAACCATGATAAATTAATAATTTTAATTATGATAATAGATTAATTTCTTTGTTATCAAATATTTTAATAAAAGATGATTTTGTATTTTTATTTACAATAATAATAGCATGTTGTTAAAATGTAAATTATAAGAAGTTCAATTCTCGTTGTTTTCGTTTTATTATTGTCGATAATTTATGATCTTAAAATCAAAAATCAATCTATAAAACCGAAAATCATTTTCTAATTCATTCTTTTTGACAATTGAAAATTCATTTTTTTTTCATTACTTTTCCAAATATTTTTCTTTTAAAAAATTATTTATTTTCTTTTTTGACCATTTTTGGAAAAAAACGTATTGCCACATAGGCTCGTACAGGTATTTCGCTTCGTGCAAGTATTTCGCAGGTTTTTATAAAGAAACTTGGGTTGTTATTTTTTTTTTGTTGAACATTAAACATTTTTACCGTGTAAAATATTAGAAATAAATTAAAAACTATGTTTTTATAATTTTGTGAAATCTTCAATTTTTTAAAAACTTTTAAAATAATCTAAAAATTAATAATGTTTATAGTAAAAATTATAATTAAAAAACTGCACGTATATGTTAAATTTTTTTATTTTTCTTATAATTAATATTACCAAAATTTTTTTTAAAAAAAACAACACTTCGGTTCTAATTTAATTCTATCAAAACACAAGGTTTTACATTTTACAAAAATAATTTTATTTTTTTGTAAATAAAACGACGATTGATATATATTAAACATATTTTATTTTCAAAAATTAGTAGTTCTATTACAATATTATTTTTGGGTTAGTGTTACATTAAAAAGTTTAGAAATGTGTTTAGATTTTACTATTTTCATCGAAGATAGAATATATGTTTTTATTATTTCAAATTCATTTTTTGTAACATTCTTTTTTATATTTAAATTGAAATCATATTATTCATTTTTTATTAAAAATAATAATGGATTCGACACTTTTTACGAAAAATACATAATTATCATATAATTATTTGATTTGTAATTTTTTAATTGTGTTTTTTTAAAAATTCTGTATTATTTATCTATAAATACTTTATGGAATGTTTGTCTACATCTCGTTGTTGATTCGTTGTTAATGATGTTTTAGAACAATTTAACCATTTTGTTTTGTATATTATACCAATTTTTCATTTAAATGTATCAGTTGGCAATGATTATTATCTTTTATTGACTATTTTTTAAATATTGCATCATAAGCGATTTATCTTTTATGGTATCGTTTTTGTTTTTTTTTGTTATTTTTTGTTTATACTGAAAATGGTTAAAAATCGGAAATACGTACCAATCATTTATCGCATTGCAGATGTAAGAGGTTGTTTTGAACATAATGAATTAAATATAATACAATGAAATAATTATGAACTCTAAAACAATTTTGTAAATCAACAATATCAGTTAAAGGTGTCTCTTTTTCTATAACCCTGCACAAATACCCATATATATCTTAAAGTGGAATGTGAAAGTGTTTTTATAATATTGCTAACATATGTGACATTTATTCAAAAAATGACTTCATAATAAAAATAAAACGGTTTCTTTTTTATTTTGAAAAGACATAACTGTGTTTTGACAACGAAAAAAAGAAACTAATTTATGAGAAATGTTTTGACAAAAACAAAAAAGAAACAATAATATTTTAAGATTT